AGTTTTAGGAAGAAGATGTAAGTCAGTCGACATGCTTGTGAGCCTTCATCGACTGAGATGGCTGACTTCGACATGTGTTATGTATGCCTAACCACTGTCTGCCTTGTCACACAATGTTGACCAAAGTAAGTTCAGGTTAGAAAAAGGCTTGAGGCAGACAGACTAAAATATGGAATCGATATATGAAGTCTTTGACTGTTCGCTTGAGCCCTATGGGGGCGATGCAGACTAGCCGGTCGGAGTCCGTAAGACAAGAGAAACCAGTGATTGGAGACTCCAGATGATCACATGGCTGAGAACGGATGCCAGTGGCGCAGATATATACACACATACATTATCCTCCTCTTAACGACGCCATACCGATTCTCACCATTTTCTCATTCTTCGTTTCTCACTTGTAGTACTTTGTATTTCTTTTGGCTGAGTTTTCTTTCTTTTGTCTTCCACTTTACTTGATGTACTGGTTTGAGGTGTGGCAACTTGGGCCGCTACACAGTAATGCCTGGTCCTCTGTTGATTTAGATAGTGGATGGATGAGTGTTTCAGATGAGATTTCAGTCGTAGCCTTTGAAGTTATTCCATATAACAGGGTGCGTCACACTATGGCATACAAACTGGTGAAAACTAAGAGGAGAGCATATCTATTCTCTGCGCAATAACTGTGAACATAGGTAGATTTGGGAGTAAGCAGCGAAGTCATCGTACTTCACCGACTGAATGGAGATCCCATGAAAACAAGACGGTGAGCATACTTAGCATAACCGAGAACTGTACATAACAGTCTAGATTACTGATAGGAAGCAACCTAAATCAACATTTTAAGTCATCAGTCGCTAAAATAAAAGTCCTGGATTTCAACCTTTGCTACTACGTGGTCAGGAAAAACCTTATTGGACAATTTTTTCCTACACCTCGCCAATCAGAATAAGCTACTCAACCTTTGACCAAGTGGTTTAATATGTTGATGATGTGGTTTTTGTCGAATAAAGTGTCTTCCTTACAGTCATAAGTCGGTCTTTATCTTCTAATATTTTCGCAGCTCAGTGAAGTATCAGGTCTAAAGGAGAACAGTCGCCATACATGTCAACCAGTTCAAGTGTCTCATTGCACTAGTACCATTCTCGTATTTCGTATTGTTCTGTTAGTCACTTCAGTTACTTTGAAGTCATAACAACATGAAATTGGAACACAATCTGATCAACTATCCATGAAGTGTTAAAGGTTAATAGTGTTGATAAGCCTTCTGAAGCAAATCAATCGCGATTATGGTAGGATTACCAACTCGATCACATGTCAACTAAGCCAAAAGATCTAATTTCAGAGGAATTCTTCACTTCACCTGCATTTCACAGTCTCATAAGCTCTCAGCAACTAGTCCAGACATTTATCATACACTAATTATCTAGTCTGACTTAATTAAGGATTCTTAGTATTAACATTATCCAGAGGGGAAAAGTAATCATTGATTATGCAAACCAGTAGACTAGACAACAATGAGGATATAGAGAGAATAATCAATATTCACATGAATAGATAAACAGATAGGGGCGTGGAGTAAGGGATAAAGGAGTTACAATACACTCACAACTTGTTTGTTGTCATAGTAATTAAAGTTCATTGAGTACTTTTGAATGCAAAAGGTCAAACTTCAACCCTTTTAATTGTTATAATGTCTTAAGAGATAGAGTCAATTCTACTCATCCATTTTTATTGATTAAAATATATTGGAAGTATCTTCAATATATCTTGCTTTTCTATTGGACAGTAGACGTTTTGAAATACGTTTATGTTATATAACGTGCAGTAGTACTGTAATGGGTGCTGTTGATCACAATGGATAGAAGTAATATATATTGAGAGGGCGGCATAGATCATAAGGAATTACTAGCAATGAGTGAAGATTCTGCCCAGAGGAATGCATGAGATAAGATGAGCGTATTAAGAGAAAATCAAGATAGAATGATAAGAGGAAATGAAGCAAGTGACTGTTTTAGTTGGAAGGTGTACCATGTCTTATGACTACTTTACAAGATACCAATAATCAACATTCCTTTCTGCGTCTCAGTCTTGTCGTTTCCTACAGTACTATCGGCAAGATTTTTCAAAGAAATCCAAGATTCCTAAACCCTTCGGAAGGAAGGAAGTGGAAGGCATTGAGCTACCTTGTACACAACTGTGTAGCAGGTGGTGAACCACACCTATTCTGTGAGGGCTACTGATACTACCTGCCTGCCAAAACCTTGATAGGTGCAACGGGACTCGAATCAGTGGCCAAATAGATGGTGGTCATCTCCCTACACCACTGAGTCACCCTTCACAGTCAATCAACGCAGCCAGAAGTTTCAAGAAACATAGAGCGAGAGAAAGAGGAAGCCTATGCGATTGTTTACGTACCAGATTGGTTAAAAGAACAAGATCCATAACTAGTGTCCTTCTTTGAAGGCCCGGAACAACTATGACTACTATAAATATCGTAAATAATTTTGATTTTTTGAATATAGATTACGCTTCCTAACTGAGCTTTTCGATACCTAGGGGATAAAGTCAGAGTCCAGGGTGAACTCAGAAGATTATTTCTTTGAGTGTTTACCACAAGCATATACCTCAGGACATCACATTATACCAATATGAAAAAGAGAGTAGAGATGTACTTGTCTTTCCAGTCAGCAGGTTGTCATAAATTGATAGACATGGAATCAAGTGACTAAAAATGAATGACTGGCTAATTTTTCCTGCATCATACAAAAGTATGTTTAATACACTGGCACTGACCTTTGGAGTTTCTTCTCCAACAATGTTCCAGCCTAATCCCTAGGGGTTGCTGTGGTTATCATTGAAACCATACTTTCTTATGTCATATGGAGAAGTTGGCAATCTTCAAAGACGTCTGCTAAGGAGAACATACTTTTGCTTGAGTTTCTTATCTGAGAATCGATTCATTGATCGTTGCTACAACCTTACTGCCTAGCTATTCCTCGTAGCTAACGTGAAAACAGCCAGATAACACACGTTTAGATATTCTACACTCCAAGTTTGTTGATGATTCATATACAAGTTCTCTTCACATTCGATGACTCCAACGAAAGACCACTATTCATCGTAATGTTGAACCAGTTAGTAGGCATTTGGCTTGTATTTATTTAAGGATATATTGGTTAAGCTCCTCCTTGATGAGAAATCAACTATTATGTCACACACAGTACGCACCGATGACTCCAACCAGGGATCGAACTAACTCCTGTCAATTCACGATATAGCGCAACTATCAGTCAAGGTCTTCAGATGGCGTTCGCTTGGCTTCTGACTGATTGACTCCACAGGTCACGGCCCCTCATATTTTTGAGATGAATAGGGATTTTAATTCAAAGGTAGTATTCATCACGGACTGACATCAGTTGGGGAACCATTGAACTCTGACCCACTAGTTGAATGGTTAAAGCGTTTGCCATGAAACCTGATGGTCCTGAATTCGACCCCTGGAGAGGGTCGTGGGTGAGTACTGTTGAGGAGACCCATACTATGACGAAACAGCTGTCCAGTACTCTCAGGTGATTTTCAATAATTCCCCAACTGATGTCAGTCCACGATGAATAATACTACCTCTAAATTACAATCCCCATTCGTCTCAAAAATACATGATTACAGCATAAATTTAATTCCCTTGACAAATTTAAACAGTGCAACATTGGTGATTAGTAATCTAGTATTGCCTTGACTCACTCACTCACCTTATTGTTAATCCTTGATTCCAAATCTCTCAAGTATGTTGTCATTATTACTACTGGTATAAGTTCAGCTCAGGTGTAGGCTGTTTTGCAGCTGATGAAAGGCCGCGAAATAAAATGATATTACGTTTGATTCTGCAAATGTCTTTTTTTTGCATTGTTCGAAAACATATTACATGATAGGCTTATAGTAGTTATCAAGGCTATAGGGTTTCCAAATCACTCTTTCTATCGATGCATGACATCGAAGAAATTGAAAACTAATAACCAATTAACTAATTCCTATTCTTTATCGCTGAGGTGTTCATCTGAATCCAAAACCCAAGGTGTCTCTTTAAACACTAAAGTCTGTGACTAGTGGTTGGATCTATCCATTGATATGTATAGAAGTGCATGACTGAGATGCTTGGCTACTCTTTTCTGATATATTAAATCATTGACTGTTTGATTAAGCCGTTTAGAAAGGTGCAAACTGGTAGGCTGGGGTCCCCAAGATGATAGGAATCAGTAGTTGATGACTCTTGATGGAATGGCTGGAAGTTGTTCATTCTTTGGTGTCTTCTACTACATGAATATTTTTACTAAGATTGACTTTTAAAATTTCCTCTCCTTCCGTGCACCTTTGTCGACTATGATATCACTATTTTTCTTATCATTACTGTGAAATATGGCAACTTGAAGTGATGCAACTATGTGCGAGGTTGTACATTGATTCCATGTATCTGTCTATCTTTCGTGATGTGATGCTAAATTAATTGCACTGGCACAGATGGATGAACACTTTGTCACTGTCGAAATCTTGAACGCTAATATGCTCTCTTGTCTACTGTTAATTTCAATTTGAAGGTTTGTAAAGATTTTTTGGACTATTTTCAAGTTGCTATGCATAACAAGGTGATATGAGTTGGAGAACTTTTGAAAATCTGAGAGCATTGGGGAGATTATAAATGTCCATTGTTTATTGGACCAGATGGATAGACCATTATTGGTATATGAACTCTTGTGAAGTTTTCTAGATATTGCTAGTAATTTAAACGCGTTACCATTAGTACAATCAAAGATGTGCGTTTCGTCCTACTCAAGACTCGTCAGCTGACATGCACCAGTCTAAAAGTCAGTGATATCCTGGATGCTACAGTCGATCTTGTTCCTATTATTAGTACAAAGCTGATAATCTGTATGAACGCTTCTCTCTGTGTATCAGGAAGTTTAAAGTGAACAGGAAAAGTATTTTAACTATTCAACACCTTTTATAATATATTAATAAATACTTACCAATATATTCCAACAGTATGCCTTTACCATGTATAATATATGGATCTAGTAAGTTTAAATTAGATGTGAATTGTAGTCCAAATGCATTGCTTATTGGACCATAAACTTGTCCAACCAATTGTGTTTCATCAGTTGGATATAACTTTTTGTAGTCTAGATCATTTATATTAGATGTAGAAAGTGAGAATGAAGAGAAAGATGATGACGATGCCGCTGATGATGATGATGATGATGTTAGACTAGTCATTGTTGTCATTTGTGTTGAACTATTGACTAAACAAAGGCGTAGAATTGGTACATTTATCTCTGTAACATTATTATTATTATATGAACTAGAGACTCGAGCATCAATCGATAAATAGTCATGATAACAAGCTTTTCCAGGATCGGATGAACACGCTGCTCCAGTAGCTAATATAAGATTTTCATTATGAGTCAATTGTGATGTTTTTATCGCTGACATCGATGATGCTGAAGAGGGTAATGAAATGCCATCTAAAATAAAAACAAATATACAAGCATAATTTAGCGTTTTACCTCTAGTACAAATATTCGAGGATCATTGGAAAGTAGTTGGTAGGTCATTGAATAAGTCTATAACAACATGAGATGTTGTATTACTGAGTAATGGTTCGATTTGCCATACCCAGAGGATGAGTGACTGACTGAGAAAATCAACATAAAACCTCGGCACACATGTGCACTACTTCAAATTGCCACACTTTACGGTACAACACAATGAACAAGTGGATAGAAAAGGATTGATATCAAAGTGAGTAAAGTTGTGTGAGAGAATATCCAAGCTTTAGAAGACGTGAATACATCTGTGCCATTGTGACCGATTTTTAGCCATGTCACTAAGAGACTTCAACCAATGATCCCTATGGTCTTGGAGACCACAGCCAAGCAATCTACACTCCACACACACGACTCCGATAAATAGTTAGAGACTTCATTGACTAATGTGTCGAGGTAGGGAGTTGTGAATTGGCATGTGCAGAACATGTTCAATCCACCTCAGTCCATCAAAGTTCATTATTCTCATCAATTGACTTGCATGTGTTGTGTAGTACCCTTTTGTCTGACTTCAACATTTCTCACAAGGTGATTCCAGCAAACCTGAGCAATGTTGTATAGATATATGATGAAAACCCTTAGAGAAGAGAAGTATTCACAAGCAGTTGAAAGCCAAAGTAACTAAGGGACAGGAGGATCAAAGTAAATAAGCGTGAGATGACGATTGGGATGAAGATAATGTATGAAGGGACGCTCATCACTGAGTAACTTCATCTAGAGTCCCTAATTACTCATTTCAGTTATCACACGGATCGCAACCAGGACATTTGCATCTCTCGATACGGCTTAGAGTAACAGTGATCAACTTTGTGCAGTTATTGTGTAGGTAGTTAGTTATCTTTACAATACTAGGCCGAGATGGAGTCTTCTGGGCACCTTAAATCACAACTTTTGAATGTTTCAGATGGATTTCTCACCCATCCACCCCCGAAGTCGAATGTAATTTCCTGTTGGAAGACTGTTTCCTATTCGTATCCCAGCTAACATTAGGGAGTAAAGTGTTTGAGTGCGCTAGTGACTTCACTTGCTTGGAACAATCCACAAAATCTCTTTTCAGATGCAAAGTATTCATTTGACTCTCACCAATTTACGTCATTTATGGCGTCACCGTGATATCCAGTTGCCTTTTAAGCGCCGAATGCACTGCGCTGGACTTCATCTTCTTCTAACATATGACTATGAAACATCGTCATTGAAGGTAGAGGGAATGAAAAGGCTTCAAAGTGTTTAACCACCTTTATCTTCGCAGCGTAGGCCATGTGCCATAGTATCATCACGTCAGTAACATTGGAAGTCAGACACTTTAATTTTAGGCAAAAGAGATAAGTTAGTTGACGAGGTTGTCAACCTTTATCATGTGGTACATAGGCCTACTTAGCTAAAGTGTGTTCACGCTGATAAAGGGTTAAAGGTGATCAGACTAAAACATGGTATCAGTCTATAGCTGTTGGTTCCAATGCTTCACTCCTATTTTTTTCTTTTTTCACAACCTTCTACTCATTTACTTGACCAATTTCACTCTTATTCATCTATTTTTCATTTCTATGTCGTCTCATCATCATTTGTCCCTGGGGTTCCTAATGGAACATAGGGATTCAGTAGAACGTCACCATTCCACTCTCTTCTCTCCAATCTTTTCAACCTGGCCACAAGACAGCCCACCAACTCTCATTTATTCCTCACATGATCTCCTCCATGTCACCCTCGACTCGGACGTCCAACTCGTCGCTTCCCATCTGGCTTCCACTCGACAACCTGGCCTGGTGTGTGATGTACCTGAATGATCTTCTCAGTGTATGCTCAATCCATCTCCACTTCCTTCCACTGCATATTTGTTCAGTGATAGGTTCTTGCTTCGTTGGTTCGTTAGCAGGATAGAGTTTCACGTTGCTTATTCTTTCTGGCCATCTGATCTTCAGTAACGAGCCAGTGTAGGTAGTTGTTATTGAATGTCTGTAGTTTGTTGGAAATACCTTTTGTAACTCGCCAAGTCTCTCAACCATATAGGATCACTGGCTTGACGTTGGTGTTGAAAATCCGGATTTTGTTCCACATGCTGAGTGCAGTGGAGCAGATCTCCATACTGGTTTCAGGTCAATGAACGCCTGTTTTGCTGTCTTCGACATCCTCATCTGTGCCTGTGCTGCTTGTAGTTGAAACAGTGCTGCCTAGATAGGTGGAACATTTGAGGCTTAGCTGATAATTAATGTACCCAGATTGATTCAAATTGAAGAGATGAATTGATCAAATCCGTCAAATTCTACGTTGACTTTATCAGTCAGTTTCAAAAGGTGATATTCTCAATTAATGGAAATGACTTTGTAGATCAACTTGCTCGTTTTTTTTCTTATTCAGTGGCTTATTCAACCACGGACAAAACATGCTGTAGTTCGGTTCATTGTTGATCGATCTATCTGGTTATAATTCCAAGGAATTCCATTGACACAGCGTAGGTTATGACCAGTAGCCTAGCATTTTCAATGACTACCAATTCCATTGAGTGAATATATCTTCATAGGTTGGTATTCATAGTGGACTGGCATCAGTTGGAGAAAAACAGAAACCTATAAGTTTTAAACAGTAGCTGTTTGGTCGTAGTACGGGGCTTGTCAGTAGTGCGCGCCCATGACTGTGTCTTGCCAGGGATCGAACCCCAGCCCTTCAAGTTCCCTGGCCAGCACGTTACCATTGAGCCACTGGGTCAGAATCCAATGATCCATATTCCCCACCTCTGTCAGTTCACGATATAGCGCCACCTACGTCCAGTGCCGTCGGTGATTACTTGTCCGCATATCCGACTTGGTTTAGCTCCATGTATCACGACTTCTCATGAAAACTTCAGGAATTACTTAGTAAGGCCATAGGTGCGCACAGCTAAGCAGTCTCAGACTACAACGAAACAGCTACTATTCGGTGCTTCCAGGTTACCAATGTTTCTCCAACTGTTGATGAATATCAACCTGAGGTGAATCCACTTCGGGGGCTGATTCTATTCAACCACACTGTTGATAAATTTAACTCTTAAATAGATAAAAACGCCCATCTCATCTAAAACCTAATTAGTTACAAATTTTCTTGATTTATGAAGTTACTGTCCAACTACATCTTGCCTTCACTAAGTGAAATGATCAAACGTATATACTAGTAAGCTGTCAGTCACACCTATAAATGTGAACTGCAAGTTAACAATCCTTACAGGTACACACAAACCCACATACCCGGCTGAACACATTATCGCAATCCAGAGGGAATTTGAGCGCTAATAAACAAAACAATGCCCCACCTCTTTAGGTATACAACAGTTTAGTGATTACGCAGTCGTTAATTATGATTATTATTTGTCCTTTGGGTTCCTAGTGTAATATAGGGCTTCAGTAGCATGCTTCCATTCCACGCTCTTCTCTACAGTCTTTTCAACCTGACTCCACGACTGCTCACAAGCTTTCATTTCTTTCTCACACAATCTCTTCCATGTCACCCTCACCTTGGACACCCAACTAGTTGTTCCCCCTTTGGGTTCCACTAGACGGCCTACCCTGGTACGTGATGTCTCTGAACGGTTTTCTCAGTGTGTGCCAAATCCGTTTTCACTTTCCTCTGCATATTTGTTGGGCGATGGGTTCTTGGTTGGTTCGTTGCCAGCCAGCTCGAAAGAGTTCCTTGTTAATTATTCTTATTATTCTGGCCATCTGATCTCCATCTTTAGTATGGAGTGAGCGTAGACGGCAGCTGTTGATGATGTTTGTCTGCAGCTAGTTGGAAACGTCTTTCTTAACGCGCCAACCCTCTCAACCATCACATAAAAGTACTGACTTGACTGATATTAGTGTTGAAAATCCGGATGTTGTTCACGCTTTATGCTGAGTGCAGTAGATCTCCACACTGACTATTTCAGATTAATGCAGGAAAGCCTGTCTTGCTGTCTTCCCGATCCTGGCTTTGACGTCCTCACGTGTGCCTGTGCCGCCTGTAGTTGAGACGATGCCACCTTGGCAGGTAGGTGAAAGAAACAACTTCGTTTAGATTTCTTCCGTCGATGGTGGTTGGTGCTGCTTGTTGTTGATGGTGGTCGGGTGTCTTCATCACCTCTGTCTTCTCTACGTTCACCTGAAGGAAGTCCTGTTTTCCTTCGCTCCCTCGCCTCTCCTCTTCTGCCAACTTGTTACTTTTTGCCTGTAGATCTTCGAGTTTGTGCGACATTAGACATAAATGATCATTGGCAAAATCCAGCGTATGCCCATTTTCTTGCTCCTCACAGTTTGTTACAATGATTATGCAATAACCTGTACTTCCAAGTTATTTACGCTTTAAAATCGATTGGCTGGCTAATGGACTTATCCCAAAAAACAACAACCAAGCAACCAGCCATTCAACCAACCAGTAAAGCCTGCGTTAACTGTGTATGATCTAGTTTAAAGAACAGCAGAAAATAATAGTAATAAAAAAATCTTAAGGCGTGGTCTTCATGTGACTGAACTAACATATCTCTTTCTCAGTAGCGATAAGTGAGGTAAGGCCAGGAGAGGGAGAGGAAGTCAAGGTAATAAACTATAAGTGAACCAACAAGGCGTAATCATTCAAAAAAGAAAAAAATTAAAATTTTTTTAGTTATCTTTTGTTTATATAACAAATAAAGTAAACTGGAAGTTCTAGTAATGATGACTCCAAAATGAATTTCCGGTGTTTTCATGAATGCGCTGTCATAAAGGGAATATATACTAACAACAACTGTGATGAGGAATAGCTTTAACGTCGAGATCGTTGTGTTTATGTAGACGTGAAACAATGAGTAACTCTTAAGGTCACTCTAGAGAACTGCTAAGATAACCAATCAGATTTCTTTCTTCCATAAAAATCTACCTTTACAGTCAGAATACTAAAATCTGATTGGTTACTCCAGCAGTTGTTTTGCATGGCCT